GCCAAAAAAAAAAAAAAAAAGAGCTGACAAGAGAAGCAACACTATACAAGGACAGGCATACTGGAAATATTACGCGTGCATCCCTACCTTGATCTTCTATCTTCTTCCTTGGGATTTGCTTTTTATTTCATTTTCTTCTTTTTATTCTTTTTTTCCCGTGCAGGAGGGGGGAAATTTCATAATAAGGACTCATTCACACATCTTTTCAACTGAAACACAGATTAAAATAAGAGGTTGTCAATTACATTGGATAACCACACCTTCTCAGGTCTCTAGTGAAGAAGGGGTGCCGTAATGCTTCTCTAGCTTTCAGCCGTTCTGTTGGGTCATAACAAAGCAGCCCTTGCAGAAGATCAATGAGATCTCCAGCAGAGTGGTCCACATGCTGCATTATTAGGTTCTGGAATATGAAAGAAAGAAAAAACAACTCAATAAATGGAAAGTAATTTAAAGAAAAAGTAGAATATTAAAGCTTCAAATCACTCATAGATCCATTATCAATGAAGCAACTCTCAACGATATAAACCAATGGATCAGTACAGCAAACAAACTACATTATCCAATCATGCGGTTTCATTTAGTCAAACCACTCAACAATGTACAGGCAGTAGGGAAACTTCTCGTTATCAAGATATATTAATGCTGCCCCAAAATCCATCATTTTCCTCGGAGAAAAGGAGAAACCTAATTAAACAATTATACAAGCGGCTGAGGGTGAAAAAGAGAACACCAGAAAACATGAAAGATGTATTCTTCACAGTGCTTACTATAGCTTTTCAAACTTCCAACTCAAACTATAGGCAATTACATTTGTGAAAGCAGTTGCTAGAAGCTAGGGAAGACCAAAACCGAAAGAAGAACAGATAAAGTATTAAGATAAATCCTACACACTAAAAGCAAAATTCACAAATCTGCACTTGTGCTCCTTGAGAAGCTTAACACTCGCAACAAGGCCTCGTGAAATTCTATCTCACCAGATTAAGAACAAAACGATTTTGCACCTCCAGATAGAGCTTAGATTCAGGAATTACCTGGAGACGAGGCAATTTCCAGACAGCCCTCATACTTTCACTTGAAGTTGCACGCTCTGGCCAATCCAACCTTGCACCCCTTCTAAAATATTTCTCAGCACGGCGGCTACAAAAAGTGAGGCAAATAAAACTTGTGCTACTGTTATGAAATGACATAAACTATCTATGAAATCAAAAGAAAGGAAAATCTTACTCAGCTCTCACAGACATGTGCTGAGGAAGAGGCCCTAGCACCTTTTCCATCATTGCGAGATGTTCTAAGTTCTCATGTGTTTGAAAAAGAGCCTCACCCTATATGTCCATCGGGGTATTTTTTTTGAACGAAATTTTATAAAATAATCATATCAGATGTGCAAACTTTTGACAGCAAAATCAGAAAGAAATATAAGTAGCTTATAGAGCAACAAACATAAGAATGTTTGGCAAAGAAAAAGATATCTAAACCTAGATTAAACCTGAGATCACAGGAATAAAGCAATCCCGAGGAGAAAATTTAACTAGACAGCACACAAGGGATGCTGGCATGACAAACAAGAATCCTTTTTTTCGATAATGAGAAACAAGAATCCATTTCAAGCATTATGTAGTCACCCCTAATTTTTGCAATAACTTACCCACATTTTCAAATAAGGGTTGCTTATTATATTCATGGAGTTGCCCCGAGATCTTGTCAGACATTAATAGGAAAAGGAAGATAACTAATCCATTTAAATGAAAGAACCATGTGACAGATAAAAAACATTTCTTTCATTTCTAACCGAAAGGTTAGAATCATTTTCAGAAAGCACCCGTGCATCACTGAATTATGACCGCCTTATCAAGGGAAACAAGCTGAGCCTATTGACTACAGGTAAAAGGATGATTTGTCCATGGATTTTTGTTGACTATAGCCACTGTATTCAATAGGTCAAGGGTGATTCACAGGAATCATCGTGAAACTGTGGTATAACAGTTTTCTCCAGTCTCACCTCATTGGGTACTCACTAATGGTAAATAATCACTTCAAAGCCCTCAGTCTGGGGGTTTTATGGTTAAATAGCATCAGGAGCTACTGTTGCATATTATGTTGCCATTTAGACGATTAGTAGTCCTCTAGCCTCTTCCCTTCACGTTACAAAGTTTGATGGTGGTGCGGAATTGTAGCATAACAATTTTTCTCCAGTATCACCTCATTGGGTACTCGTTAATGGCACTTTAAAGCCCTCGTCTGGGGGTATTATGTGTATTATGGACAAAATAGCATCAGGAGCAAATGTTGTATATCGTGTTGCCATTTAGACAATTAGGCCAGATCTGATGGCATAATAGTCCTCTATCCTCTTACTTCACGTAACTAAGTTTGATGGTAGTATATTGTATAGTAACTGACGAAGATAATCATAAAGAACCTAGCAGCCCTACCAATCATTATCTCATGACAATACAAGCAAAGAAAAAAAAAAAAAAAAAA